GATTCAACAAGCTCTTTTGGTGAAGATTTTGATGGAGGTTCTAATAGGGATCCAGAAACTTGGAAAGTAATTTCTCTTCTTAGGTAATATAACATTGGTAAATTTAGTTTTATTGCGCGTTTAAGCAAGCTGAAACATAAGTTTTTATTTAACTCGATCAAATAGAGGTTCACTCTCTGAAATCATGGATCTTGCATGGTCTCCTGATGGAGAATATATAATTGCAGCTTGTACTGAGGGAGCTGCTCGGATTTGGCGCGTGAGAGATGGTATATAATAATTTTCTGTTCAATTAATTTTGTTGAAATTTTCTAAGGCAAAAATTTCTATTTATTAGCGTCTTGTGTATGTATTTTGATGGATCATGTCCGAAACGTTCAAGGAGTTGCATGGGATCCCCTCGGAGAATATATTGCTACTCAAGGTTGCGATCGGTAAATAATTCATAATGTTGATTAAATTTATATGCACATTATCTAGACGACTTGTATAAACTTAAATTTCATTTTTTTATAGATCTGTTCACGTCTATTCTTATAGTATTCATCCAAATGGTGCTTTTGTAGCAACGCATTTTAGCAAGAATTATCGAGTGGAAATTTCATGCAAGAACGATGATTTCAAACCAACCAATATCTCTGTAAATGATCAAACAAACACTTTCAATAATTACTCTTCAAGTGAGGTCCCCATCACACAAAATTCTGTTTTTAATAATGGTCAGATGAAGAATGAAATAGATTGTTTAGACAATTCAACAACTGATGAGGCCCCAAAAGATAATCAAACACGTCAAGAAGTCGATCATTTAAGTAGCTCTAAGTCAGATGATGAATGCCCGAATAAGCTTTTGTCAAGCGACACTCAAGAAAATGGAAACTCTCATTTAGTGGAGTGTTCGGAAGTTTCAGAATTCAAACACGTGCAATATTTAACTCCCACATCCAAAAATTTAGACAAAGTTATTCATAGACCGTATAAAAAGCGTTTTCGTTTATACTGTGAAGAGGCAGTTAATACTTTTTTCAGGCGATTAACTTTTACTCCTGATGGGGGACTCTTGCTAACACCAGCCGGTCAATACAGAGAATCTATTATTGATTTAATGCATAATAAAGAAAGTAGATTTCGTGCCGATAGCACTATGCTTAATACAGTTTATTTATTTGCTCGAAACAGATTGAACAGGTAAGTTCTTTTTTTTTTTAAATAATCATATCAGTCTATTATCCGAAGATTAACATACTTCTAGTAGTTAGTATACAGTCTACTAATTGGTGAAAAACTCATTTTATTACAGGGCTCCTATTGCCTATTTATCAGGATATAGGAAACCTTCTATCGTGGTAAAATGTAATCCAGTGTTATACAGGTTGAGGTTCGATCGACAAAATGGTCACCTACAAGGTGACAAGAGCTCATCTTTGAATGATTCCAATGAAAACCTAAATAGTACATCGCCACATAATCATTGTCGTTTATTTGATTTACCTTACCGGATTATATACGCTGTTGCAACTCAAGATTCTATATTTATATATGATACGGAACAGTATAGTCCGTTGGCCATGGCAACAAATCTACATTACGCCTCAATCTCAGACTTGGATTGGTACGATTCAATTTACAAAACTACATAGGTTTTAATCTTGTTATAACAATATTTTTTATTAAATAGGTCACCAGATGGGAATTCACTCTTGCTTGCATCTCAGGACGGATATTGTTCTATCATGACATTTCACGATGGTGAACTGGGAGTACAATATGATGAATATAATCCAATTAAAAATAATCTTCCCGTTGTTGGGCTAGTTTCTCTTCCGGCTGATTTTACCGTAAATAATCAGACTCCGGCTACACCAAATGTCTTGACGTCGCAAAAAGATCATAATCGTGCTGGCGATACGCGAAATATTCAACAGAACCCCACGTTAATATCTGTGAATCCCGATCCTATATATCAGCAATCAAGCAATTACATAAATCAGACCGAATACGAAGTACCGCTAGAACAAAATAAAAAAAAAAGAAGAATTACGCCAAAACTAATAAAA